CCCAACACTCCACCACAGAGTCACCGCAGTAGACGTTAGATGAGCGCTGTCGCTATGCGGCACTTGTTTATTTAAAGGAGATGCCAAAACTATCCTTTATATATGTGTTCATCATGCAGAGGAGGTTTCACTGTATAACTACTACGGAAGGGAAATTCCAAAAGTGACAGTCATGGACAGGTGGCTGTTCTATAGAGTTGGTTTCATTGTCACTGAAAGGAAACGCTCAGAAATGTCCTTCTTGACAGGTGTTCTGTAGAGGTGCGAGGCTAACACAGGTTTGACACTGTATTCCTGCAGATATGGTGAGACAGAGCACATACCTTGCTGGTGACAGTGTCATCACCTATCTGCCTGCGGACAAGCCGACACGTATCCTGCAGCTGTTCATAAAATTCAAACCACTCAGCAACACTGGAGTACTCATGTACAGGTATTACTCATACTTCTCTATACTTCCACGCTCGTGATGATAGGATGAATCGACCGATAAGTACTTCTAGCAATAGAATGATATACGAGTTCCTCACTAACAACTGATCTATTTACTTGGTATGGTTTATAGACAGCTCTAGTCAAGCAGTGTTGCAAAAATTCGATCAGTTGTTAGAATATACTAAAAACGATGTTTACTAGCAAAGTGACAAAACGTCAACATTTTGGTGTGCACATGTGCACATCTACATCTAAAGCGGGTGGGCTTCACTGACCTAGCAACAGTATCCAAGGTAGCCTTGGTAATCTCACTCACGCTAATATGGCATGCAGCATGCAGCAATGGTGGGAGCTGCTCTTAGTCACTAAGCAGTGTACATTTATTAGGTTTTATGTTTATTCTACTCAGAAATCTAGTAAGGTAGTTGGTCATTTGCCCCAGCAACGGATATGTCACGGATGAACGTCGTAATGTGAGCATTAAGCTGGGTTTACACTACCGACTTTGTGTTGGTGAATTGGCGAATCGTACCAACTTTCCAACTATACAACCGACAATCGGCAGCGTAAACGCAAAAGTTGCGTGACCAACCAAATTGAACCAATCGATAGCAACTAGTTAGATGTTCTATTTTCGCCAACTCAGAGTTGCCAAATTGCGAAATTGGTCCAACTCGCCAATTCGCCAACATAAAGTCGGTAGTGTAAACCCAGCTTTATGTGTTATATGTACAGGTTTAACAGGTCGTGCAGTGAAGTGGCGTGCAACCACGAAATCTTGATGGAATTGAAAGATGGCTATCTTCGTCTACAGGCCAACATCGGAGCCGCGAGCCTATCACCAATTAATATCGCAGACCAGCTGACGGTGAATACAGACAATCTATCTAGCTATCTATCTATTAGTGGTGTTTCGATTAATCGAGTTCGTCGATCATTACTCGTTTGGGCTGCTGAGTTGATTAATCGAGTAGAAAATCGGACAACCGAGTACAACTCAAACTTTTTTTATATATATATTTTTATATTATATCCATCTTAAT